GCCAACAAGGGGCTAATGGTGGTGATTCCAAAAGGTTCAAAGGCAACTACTTTGTGTGCAATAAATCGGGACATCGTGTAAAAGATTATTAAAGACGTATAGCACAAGAGAATCACAAGAGGAAGACTGCCCAAGCTAATATAATTGAGGTAGAAAAACTTTCTGAAAATGTTTATAACATGAGTTTTTCTGCTGTAGTATCTGAAGTAAACTTGGTAAAAAATACCAAGGAATGGTGGGTGGACACCGGGGCCACTAGATACATATGTTTGGATAAGAAGATATTCTCTTCGTATGAAGCAATTAATAATGGAGAATAACTATTCATGAAAAATTCTTCTACTTCCAAAGTTAAAGGCAAATGAAAAGTTATGTTGAAGGTGACTTTTGAAAAAGAACTTACTCTCAATGATATGTTAGATGTTTTAGAAATTCGAAAGAATCTTGTGTCTGGATCGTTGTTCAGTAAGATGGGTTATAGGTTGACTTTTGAATCCGAGAAATTTGCACTCACCAAGAATGAGATTTATATAGGTAAGGGATATATGAGCAATGGGCTCTTTAAGATGAATGTAATGACAATTGTATTTAATTTTAATAATAAGAACACATCTTCTGCTTATATGTTTGAGTCTTCTAATGTATGGTATGGTAGATTAGGACATGTTAATTTGATTACTTTGTGTAAATTAATGACTTTAGAATTGTTGTTTAAATTCAATATTGATACAAATCATAAATGTGAGGCATGTGTTGAATCAAAATTAACTAAAACATCATTTCATAATATTTAAAGAAGTATTAAACATTTAGAGTTAATTCATAGTGATACATGTTATTTGAAATATGTTCAAACTATAGGTGGAAAGAAGTACTTCGTTACGTTTATTGATGATTGCATAAGATATTGCTATGTATATTTGCTAAGGAGTAAAGATGAAGTATTGAAAAAATTTATGCATTATAAGAATGAGGTTGAGAATCAACTTGACAAAAAAATTAAAGTAATAAGAAGTGATCGAGGTGATAAATATGACGCACTTTTCGATAGATTATGTTAAGAATGTGATATTATTCACCAAACTTCTGCGTCTTATACTCTTCAGCAAAATGAGACTGTTGAACGTAAAAATAGAACATTGAAAGAGATGATGACCGCAATGTTGATTAGTTCGAGATTACCTCATAACTTGTGGGGGGAAGCTTTACTTTCAGCAAACTATATTTTGAATAAATTACCCCACAAGAAATTAGACAAAATCCCTTATAAATTATGAAAATATCGAAGTCCTTTCTACAAATATTTAAAAGTGTGGAGGTGTTTGACTAAGGTGATGATTCTTATTCCCAAAAGGATTAAAATAGGACCTAAGACTATTGATTGTATATTTATTGGTTATGCAATAAATAACAGTGCATATCGTTTTTTCGTACATAATTCTGATATTCCTAATATATATGTCAATACAATCATTGAGTCAAAAAATGTATCATTATTTGAAAATGTCTTTCTTAGTAAAAAAACATGTGATGGGAGTTATCTTAAAAGAACTCATTATACTGCGACTAGTAGTATAGACCATGAGACTATTGATGAAGAAAGTGAAGAGACACTTAGACGCAGTAAGAGGGCAAGGACTTTCAAGTCCTATGGTCCAGATTTTTTAACATATTTGTTCGAAAATGAGCTTCAAAGCTTCAATGAAGCGATGCCCACTCATTCATCACCTATGTGGAAAGAAGTTGTAAACATTGAAATTGAGTTCATCATGCAAAATCACACCTAGGAGTTGGTAGATCTTCCACAAGGAGTAAACCATTGGGGTGAAAATGAGTTTTCAAGAGGAAAATGAAAAATGTTGGAACAATTGATAAGTACAAAGCTAGACTTATAGCTAAAGGTTACAAATAAAAGGAAGATCTTGATTACCTTGATACATATTCTCCTGTCACGAGAATAACATCTATTTGTATGCTCATAACTATTGCAATATTGCATAATCTTGAGATACACCAAATAGATGTGAAGGTAGCTTTCCTAAATGGTGACTTAAATGAGGAAATTTATATGGACCAACTCGAAGGATTCATTTCTCCAAGACAAGAGAAAAAGACATGTAGACTTGTTAAATCATTTTATGGTTTAAAGCAACCACTAAAACAATGACATGAGAAATTTAACAAGGTAATGATGTCAAATGGTTTAACAATTAATGAATGTGATAAATGTGCCTATATCAAAGACACAAATAATGGATATGTCATTATTTACTTATATGTGGATGATATGCTTATTTATGTAGTAATAATAATATTATTACAACTACTAAGAAAATGTTGTTCAGTAAGTTTGAGATGAAGGATTTGGGTGTTGCAGATGTTATACTAGGAATTAAAATTTTTAGAACATCCAATGGACTTATATTATCTTAATCACATTATATTGAAAAAATACTTGAGAAGTTCGACAAAGATAAAAGCAGCAATGCTAGAACACCAGTCGATATAATCTTCATTTGTCTAAAAGTACTAGCTAGAACATATCACAATTTAAATACTTTCGTATCATTGACAGTCTAATGTACGTCATGAACTGCACTAGACCAGATATAGCATATTCAGTTCATAAATTGAGTAGATATACGAGTAATCCGGGAGTACACTATTAGAAGGCAATTATCAGGGTTCTTAGATATTTAAGATATACCATGAATTTTGGATTACACTATACTAGATGTCCAGCTGTACTTGAAGGGTATAGTGATGCAAACTTAATATCTGATATAATGATACAAAATTCATAAGTGGTTATGTTTTTACATTTGGTGGTGCGATTGTATCTTGAAAATCCTCTAAGTAAACGTGTATTGCCAGATTCACAATGAACTCTTAATTTATTGCTTTAGATAAAGCTGGAGAAAAAGCTGAGTGACTTCACTAATTTCTAGAGGATATTCCAATATGACCTAAACCTATGCCAACAATATGTATACATTGTGATAACCAATCTAAAATTGGTAGGACACAAAGTGACATATAGAATGGTAAGTCTAGACGTATACGTCATAGATATAATACTGTTAGGCAATTGCTCTCAAATGAGAATATTTCTATTGATTATATAAAATTAAATGATAATCTAGCGGATCCACTTACTAAAGGTTTGACCAGAGAACAAGTAAATTGCACATCGAGAGAAATGGGGCTAAAACCTATGAAATAAGTGTCACCTTAATGGCAACCCAACCTGCTTGACTGGAGATCCCAAGATCTAGGTTCAAAGGGACAACCGAATTATGCATGATTCAAAAGAATCACTAAGGAGATAATCTCTCCTACCTATTCCTATGATAAACTAGTGTTGCCTGCAGAGTTTATTAGGGTGAGCTATGCTTTTAAATACTTTTATACCTTGAAAAATCCAAGTGGAATACTACAGGATATTCCTAATAAGAGTCACCTATATGAGTGTAAGGGGGCTGCTTCTGTGAGAATTTATAAAGACTGAATTCTCTAAAACACTTATGAAAATCAGGAGTTGTTCATGGCCAAAATGAATACAATCATGAGAACCAATTGTGTTCGGAAAGAGATTGTGTGAAGTGCATTCGATCTAATTTATCAAACAGTGAATAGCTCAAGATATCACATTCACTATTTAGCTGGGACTTTCACTATGGAAGGTTCAAAGCCAAAAACTACCTATATCAATACACGATCTTTCCAAAAATGTACTCTCTATAGAGTGTCGTCATTATCATTTGCATACTAACAACAAATTTTTCATTAATGTGAGGGAGTGTTGGACCAAAACAGTTTCACAAAATAGTTTCTTAAGTGTAAAAATTAAATTTTTGGTCGACTTTGAACCTAAATTAAAGTGAAACCCGTTTGTTGTTTCGAATAAACTTTTGTGGATTCGTATACTACTCTATGAGGAGAATAATATAGTATATTCACTTACTTAAATCAAGTAAAAAATGAATGAGAAAATAGGCTCCAAAGTGACTCTCTTGAAATGTGAAAATAGAGGTTGTGCAATGTGGGATTTAACATCAATACCACATTGGTTGAGTAAAAAATTCTACATGGGTATATATAGGTCAAATTTGCTCTATGGAATTGGGCCCCAATAGGTACCACAATTTTATGAGTTGAGCGAGCGCCTACATGATTTCGATTTTACCACACACACACGTGCGCCACCTACCACGCCACAACCCGACCTGGCCGGTATGGGTGTCGTTTAGACCAAGCCCAATTTTTTTGAAAAAAATTTGTTTAATTAATTGGGTGTGAATTTCTTAACCCGAAATTTAATTTTTCGCACTGGTTCGGATTTTTTGCTTCCCTCAAGTCTGAAATTTGAGTTGTGCATCCAATAAATCCAGTCACATAATCATTTTGCATCCAATAAATCCAATTGATTCAATACATTTTTAGTCATTTAAAGGAGTCTCATACATTTTTAAGACAATCTGTATTTGAAAAGTACACAACACAATTTATGGTTCGCTAAATGAGTAAATTGGAGTGTTACTTCTACTCGTGTAAAGATCATTGTACACGGGGAGGTAAACACTCGATATTCTATAAGCACCATGTGTGGGAGCTAAATATGTCTTAAGGACATAGTGTCAAACACTAACCTTGATCTATATAAAGTTCAATAACAGTTCTTATTCTGCAATCGGGTTAGTATTAATATTGGTTTGAAAAAAAGTTACGTGTAACTATTTCGTTAAGAATATAGTAACTGTTTTGTTTATTCTTCTGTAGCTATTTCAATTTTTTGTGTAACTATTTCGCACTTGATTATTACTATTTTTTATACATTACTGTTTCAAATCAGAAATTTCAATAAGTGATTTTACTATATTTGAAATACCACAACCAACAGTTACAAGGACCCTATGGTTTCAATGGAGAGAAAACCCTATGTTTAGCTTTTTGGAAAGTATACAAACAAACAATTCCAATTGTCGTAAACTTGTCAAGACTTACCTATCAACTGCCTTTGTGAATAGCTCTAATTCTTGCAGTGAGCCATAAACATCATAAACATCATCTATTGTCATCATTAAGCTAAGGACTTTGGCTAGCCAATTTCTGAAACATTTGTACTGAGGCTCAAAATTGAGTCCCACCACAAATAAGTAACTTTCGATTATTCGGTCCCTTGAAAAGCTTAAATTTCTTGCTATCCCAAGATTCCTCCACCACCTGCATGTCTCACAATGTAGCAAAACGTTACTTTCGAACTTCCTATGTGTGGTGTTAAGCATTTGTAGGGGTTACAAATGAGTTTGACTAAATGAACCATGTAAAACACATATATATGCATAGTCACATGTTCACGCGCTTAGATGATTTAGCCAAACATGCTCAGCTCATTTATGAAACATGTTTTAAAATTGAGCTCGAGCTTAGTTTGTTTTATGAAAGAAAAAACTTGAATGAACTTTACTTAGGCCCAAGTCCGAACTATTCACAAACTAGTTCTTTTCCAACCCTATGCACTTGTTTATCATATGTTCAACAAACAAAAAAAAATCATATGTTCACAACTTTAACACTTCTACATGGAAGCTTCTTTGGTTATTACCTTGTTATTTCCCCAAGATCTTTTTGGTGTGTGGCTTGAACCATGTTGAAATGAAGCTTAGCCAGCTTGAGCAAACTAGTGTTGATGTTACCCACTTTTCCATATCCATGGATGTGTTTCGTGACATTATACCACTCCAATCTCCAATGCAACGGAAGCTCCAACGCAGTGCTCAATTGTTTGGCTAGTGAATCATTTGAGTTTGAAATGACAGTCTTGAGATTTTCAGTAGAAAACATTTTGGCCTTGTCCATTGTGTTTTCACCTTCTAAGGCAAGGTGTGATGCTTCAAACAGCTCAAGCATTGCTTTGACATTTGTGTTTGTGCTTTGCCTAAAATTACCCATCTCATCCACGAATCCGATAAATATGTCTAAATTTCACATAGCATTTAAAATGTTAGGATAAAGAATTGAAATTAAAATAATTTTTTTTGTTTATTATTGCTATAAATGACAATCATGAGTCGAGTTGTTTATACCTTGTGAAACATTGTAGCCATATTGCCTAAGCAACCTAACGCATAGTGCAGTAGCATAGAGATCCTCTTTTATGGTGAGATTTCTGTCCTCAAGACACATTATCATGTCTAGAGCTTCCTCGATTTCCTGCTCAAAAAGGATGGCCAGACTTAGTTTTCCAATGCTGTCTACAAGCTCTAACTTAGCCAATGGCTCCACGGTTTCAACTAACGTGAACCTAACTTCCTCTTTTAGCTTCTCTACATGTTATATGTGTCTACCTGCATGCATTATAAGAGAAAGGTAAAATGTTTGCATATTTTTATGAAATAAGTACAAATATATCGCATTTAGGTAGCAATTTGGACTTTTAGAATATGTTATTGTTGGAGTATAGATAGTCTAGGTTTATTAGGATTTTTTTTCCCTTTTTTACCCTTACTATAATTTTTATATTTTGCCTAAACTACAAGGATGTTTAAGTCACTCTGTATTATTTTTGGATATATATACGGGGTTCTACTCTTAATTTGAGTATCCCTTTTCATTCACAACTATCTCAAGTTGGTATCAGAGCCATTAACCCTAACCTTAATTCTAACATTAGCCTCCACCAAACAACGCAACCAGCGAGACGATAGCCTCCACTCCATCGTCTACCTCTGCTACACAATTACCCACAGCCTGCATCAACCCAGCAGCCCACCGACAGAACCCACATACCAGCCACCGATAAACAATACCCACTCAACTCCTCACCTTAGTCACCTGCCCTCTGGATCCTGTACGACCCATAACTTTCACCACAATAGCGTGCTTGATCTGAGATTCCATTCTGCTCGAGCGTGAGCAGAGACTTCTACTAAGAGAGAGAAGAACAGTAGCGGCCCGAAGAACCACAGATCTCGTGCAAACCCAGCCAATAACCTGCCGACAAACCCACTCAATCGCCTTCCAGTAATTTTTTGAACTGCTCCTTCTCGGTTTCACCAAAACCATTCCTTGAGAACCGAAGTTTCGTGAGTGAACCGAACCAGACCAGCCGACTGCCCAAAACCAACTCACTGTTATATCTAGGATTTTTTATGAGGGGTTGTTGATTTGCTCTTGATGCAGTAGATCACTTATTTATATATTTTGGATATATATACGGGGTTCTACTATTAATTTGAGTATCCCTTTTCATTCACAACTATCTCAAGTGTTATAAACTAACTAATAGCAATGTTGTTGGGAGTTGTAGAATCTCACTGTGTATTCACTTGTAAGAGACTCTATGTAATCATATTTCCATATATTTGGCTTGTAATTGGCTGACCGCCTTTGAATGCATTTATCCTTTGAACTATTAATTTCAGTCTTCATCTGGAACTGTAACACTTGCTGATCACTTGGCATTCTATTTGTGCAAGTCACCATGGTTGAAGAGTATAGAGAGGAGAGATGGTAGTAAAGGTATGTAATTGTAGAGATGAGAGCGATAAGAGATGAGTTAAGATCTACTTCATCCCCGTATATATGCGCAGGGACAATCGTGTAACACATGAATATGATTACGCTAACATATGGTGACACCAGCACCCGAAACTTGATTTAGAGAAATTTACGTCTGAGATTGCTTGAACCATTAGGAGACAACAATGAAATGATGTAACATAGAAGGAACCACAAGTATTCAGTGTCGTTGGAGTAGCCATCTAGGTTTGGCATGATCCAGCCACTGTGGGTGACCCCTCCCTTGGACTTAAGTGAGATAGATTTATTACAAAAAGATATTCTTGAGTTATGAAATCTTGGAACCACTCATAATCTCATCCAATGTTTCTTTCTTGGAAAGTAGAGAGGCATACAGTGTGGTCATCTCCAATTGTATTTTTTAAACTACATGCCATGTCGAAAGTTTCCTTATCCCAAAAGTACTATACAAATGTACAAACTTGATTTACTATTTTTACTAACATAAGGTTTTCAAAGGTGAAAACTATACTATAGCAAAGTACATAATTGATTTACTATTTTTTCTAACAATTTTTTTTTTTGGGGAAAGGAGGACTGTACCTCCAAGTTTATTAAATAACCTTCAGTTGTGGTAGAAGAATACTGTGGTTACATAGTAGCATCTAAACCACAAAAACCAAGAAGAAAAAACAAGAAATACAATCCGAAGAACAGCAAATCTAAAAACAAAGGAATTTTTTAGTTCCTAATATATGTCATGCCAGTTTTATCCATCCTTATTAGTCCAACTAATCGGCGTGGTAAATCCATCGTTTGCCATATAAGTTTTGTGGTAGCTGACATATATATGAATTCAGATTTTTTTTTTTTTTTCATATTGTTTGCCAATAAGTTTTGTTTTGGACTTTGCTACCAGAGAAGGTTTTAAAAGAGCTATGATTTATAGGTCTTCAAATCTATCATGATAAAATTAAGTTTATTAAGTTAATGATGTGACAATTAATATGGTTCAATATCATTAGAATCGCCTTGCAATTATTGAATTTCTTCTTTGGGACAATATTGCTTGACACATCACTAATTCTGTAAATTAATACAAACTTTTAGGTTTCAAAAGCACTATTCTTATCAATAGGGCAGGTTGGCAAACTAGAGAAGGTGTTAAGTAGCTTCAGTTCTTCCATCTTCAGACTTTCCTTGGTCCAGAGATTAGGAAAACAAAACCATGTTGGTTGTCTCCAGTCAACTTCACTTATTCAATTCTCGAGTTAATCAATGAAGCTAAGTTTTAGATATTTTTTGGTTTATAAGCAAATGAAACCTTTGAGATTTTAGCCGAATAACGGATTCTCCTAATTAGTTAAATTCCTCACGTTTTATCTAAATCATCAACAATGACAAATTAGTTAACACCAGCTTCATTCACGTTTATATAAGCAACACCATTCCTTTAACAATGACAAAATTGAATTAAGGTCTGCTTCGTCCATTTCTATACAAGCGACGCCAATGGTGTAGCAAGTGAATATGTTTACACTAACCTTGGCAGATGTTAGCATCCCCACACTTGATTTAGACACATACTAGCCGGGACCTAGGTGAAAGCCATGAGGAAACCACTTGAAAAATATCTTAGCCAACGTAAGGTGTAAGTTATTTATCCTAAAAGGTATCAACAGTGTGTTTGCTATATATGGGCATCTAGGGTTGGCATGTGACATTATCTCTTTTCTCAACCCTTCAGTTTTCTTGTACTGTAAAATAAATTTGTACGAATAAACATTTCAAAAGTTCTCTCAACACCACACAACCAAACCAAACATCAAACATCAAACACTTAGCGCCACTACCACTCATTTGTCTTCTTTCGTATGAAAAGGGCGAATGCACAATTTGACAATGTAACCAAAGAGAAACACGTAGTGTCACTCGTTTGTCTTCTTTCGTATGAAAAGGGGACATGCACGATTTGACAATGTAACTAAAGAGAAACACGTAGAACCACTCGTTTGTCTTCTTTCGTATGAAAAGGGGAAATGCACAATTTGACAATGTAACTAAAGAGAAACACGTAGAACCACTCGTTTGTCTTCTTTCGTATGAAAAAGGGAAATGCACAATTTGACAATGTAACCGAAGAGATGCTTAACACATCTATGATCTGAAGGGCTTCAATAATTCAGTTGAGGCTACTATTTGGATGGGACATAAATAATTTGTATTTGCCCAGTTGTGTTACATGCTATGTCATTGATGGCCTCATGCAAAAAACCGCGATTTTAATGAGAGATTATTTAGCTATTTGTCCAATATATCAGAAAATTATTTGGTGTGACTATACAGACTACACAAGATCAAATATTTCAGCTCGAAAGTTTACATCCAAAGACAAAACATGAAAAGCAAGCGAGTAACTACTTCACCCTGCCACGCATCTATAATATATATATCATCAAAAAACCAGTGAGACTAGATTTCAATGAACACCTTAGTCTTCTATTCTAATTGGGTTGAAATTCAAGAAGTGGGTCGTCCAAAAAACTGCTGTTAACCCGCCCTTCATTCATGGACAATAAGACTCGTAAACGTGCTTGAAAAAATTCAACTTATTTTATGTCATACGGATAGGATCGGAATGCAAAATATTATTGTAGGAGCCTTATTATCTTACTGAAATACCGCTTTTTGTTACAGTACCTCTATTTCTTATTCAATAGAAACGTAATACATTTAAAAATTTTATATTTTATTATTCTACCAATTTTTTTAATTAAGGGTGGTAATCATCTAATTCAAAATTGATGACTAAGACAAATTACAATTCGGTATTAAAAATATCATAGCTTATCTTTTTAGTGGAATTAGAACCACAAACAGGTTATCTGGGTTGTTACTGATGGATGACAAGGCTATAAATCGTGTGGTCCAAAAGCTTGGATATGCCTAGTAATTGAGGACTACTTGTGGTCAGAGAGTTTGTTCTACTGCCACAACCCAGCAGTAACAGTGCAACCATGTGTTTTAAGTTTTAACTGCTTAGGGAAGCAGGGGCCTATGTCGGGGACTTCGTACTCATAAACTTTTTGTTAATAAGCTTCACGAGCACAATTTTATTGACGACATATTCATGAGTTACAATAATGTAGGCCTCCTCCCTTACTACAGTAATATATTCACATGGATGGTGCTCCCAAAAGGGTTACATGTGACGGAAGAAAAATGTTATTTGAGTTTAATTTGAGACTTAATTCAATGTAATTGTTGGATTAAAGTGGGTTTCATTTAATGTTGGAACTCATATCTAATCCACTGACTATGTTGAATTAGGCCCTTAATTAGGTCCCTATACCATTGCTCGTAAGAAAATATCATGATCCATTTGGTGGGATAGATGAAAAAAGGAAAGGAAATACAATAAAAGTGATATATTTTTCATTGTCACATGAAAGTTAACTTATTTTCCTCCTTTGTGCTTTGGAAAGAGAGAGAGAAAGCATGAATGACTGATTTTTTTTTATGTTTGGTATGAATAAAAAGTGGAAGGAAGGAAAAAATATACATGCATATTAAGTCATTGTACCAAGATATAAAATTAAAATATTTATAATATATAATACTAGTTATTGTCTGTGCCTATAGACACTGTACGACAAAAAAAATCAACTAATAAAATGAACATTAGCAAAAGAAAAAAGCTGTGAACATAATGATAACAATAAATATCTAGAGTTGATGAATATATAAAAAATGTACAAAATTACCTCTAAAAATATAACTCACAAAATTTAAACATATACATAGTTTACATATTTTATTATTGTACCTTAAAAAGCTATTACTCATTTCATATTATTAATTTGCCCATAGTTAAGAAAATGCATATCAAATAACTACTCTCTCCATATGATTAAAGTGCAAATCCTCATTCTCAATCAACTTGATCTAGTATATAACTATTATTTTTCAAATTAAAATGCACATCATAGAAATAGGTATAAAAGAAATTACGAAGTATCAAAGCATTCAAGAGGCTGTCTAAAAAATTGCTCGAAAATAACATTGGTTCTTTAAATAACTTGAATTCCAATAAGTTTCAGGCATTAAAAGTGTACCCAACAAATTATTGAAGCACTATTGCATTTGAAGTAATTAAAGTAATTAAAATCAATCCCCCTCGCCTCTCCTTTCTCTCTCCTACCTCAAAACTCCCAAGCCCACATTTTCTCTTCGATTATTGTTGGTTGGGTTTATAAACAAAGGTGGGTGGGTCATTTATAAATTATAAATACTCGTATAGTAGCAAATCTTAAGATAAAATTTCATCTTCATCTGGGAATGTAGATCTTATATCTCAATAAGGAACCCTCTCTGTCTCTCTCTCTCTAAAAAGTAATCAAAGATGTTACATATAAAACATAGGACACCTAAATCCTCCCTCTCTCTCAAAAATAATCAAAGATGTGACATATAAAACATAGGACACCTCTCTTTCTCTTTCTCACATACACACACGGAATCGGTTTATGGTTGGTGATCTCTCT